TTTTACATTTATCATTCGGTAGCTTCAATTAATATAAGACATTTATTGATTTTATAATTTTTTTTTTTTTTTTACTTTTGGATGGAATGTGAATTATAGGCTTTCTCATTGTGTAATCTTATCTTTTTTTTTTTTGCGTAGAACATTATTCTTATCTCTTGTTTAGTTATTCTAATACTAATAAAATTATAACGGACTTTTTTCAACCTAGTTGTATCTTAGTTTCTTCAAAAAATAGAAATAAAAATATTAATTATCATAAAGTAAATCCTAATTACATTGAATGTGTTATATTTTGTATCATTATCGATAATATTCAGAATAGTTAACTGCACACAATATTATATTATATATATCAATATAATTTATTGCTAAAAATTAATTAATTTTCAAGGTATATAGGCATATCATGATTCTCCAGATATTTTTATTTAATTTATGGATAATCATATGATATAAATTGAATGTTGCTCAAGTGATATCTCATTTGACATGAAAATAAATAGTATGGGTTCTAATATTATACAATTTTATAAAATTATTCTAATCATATTTTAAGAAAGAAATTGAGTATATTAGAAGTTCAGGCTGCAAAATAAGAATTCAACTGTTCTCATACTACTACACAATTGTTTTTTTTTTTATATAGGTTATTTTGAGAAAAAAAAATATTTCTATACTTTATGGACATTATAAGGACAAACATTATCGATTTTTTTTTTTTTTACTTATAGTTGTTAATAATAGATGATTAATGGTGTTGTATGATATGATTTTTTACTTATAGCGTAAATAGACATATATGATTCTCTAGATATGTTAATTAAATTATAGACAATCTTATGATCAAAACTAAATCATGTTGCTCAAGTAGTATCTCATTCGATAGGAAAACAATTGGAATGACTTTTAGTATTAGAAAATTTTATAAAATTATTCTAATCTTATTTAAATAAATACATTTAGTAGATTAGAATTTTGAGTTGCAAAACAATTATTCAACAATTTATCTCTAATAGTGTTACACAATTTTTCTTTCTCATAGGTTATAATTTTTTTTTTAAAGAAAAAACTATAGTTTATGGTCGTTATGAGAATAAGTAATATCGACTTCATATTTTTACTTTAGTTACTAATAAACTCATAAAATTAAATAAATATTGTTAAAAAATTTATCTTATATACTTACGGTTAAAATTATCAAAATTACTGATAAAGTCATAAAAGTATTTACGGATCTTAAAATAATGTAAATAAATAAAATATTTAATATACAAAAATTTGAATTGTCATTGTTTATAATGCTTTCATCTTGAAAAACAATTGCTCATGTGAAGCAATTATAACTAAAATGTCATGATATATTTTTGTTAATAATTGAATGAAAAACATCAAATATTTTAAGTGTCAATAATTAAAATATTATGCAACTTGATCTTAATCACATAACGGTCAGGAGAAAATTTGTTAACTTTATGAGATTTGCGACGAAAAAATTGAAAATACATACCAATAAGCAAATAAATGATAATTTTTGTTGGATCAAAATTGAATCCAATAAAACTAAGGTGCAATTTATAATTCTAATTCTAAATACAAAAGATTATTTTTTTTAAATATCGAAGTAATTAAACCCAAAAAAATCCAAAATCTTCTCCTTTAGTCTTCCTCAAACAAATCTACCTAATTTTTAATGCCAACATGGAAGTATCCTTTTTTTTTCCTAATTCTTGCTCCTTTTTTCTTCCAATAGGCTCTCAGCTCTCTGTATTTTTAGATTTTGTACAATGTGCTCGCAGTAATGAGAGGACCAACGTGGTGCCGCTTTGGACGGCCAATTTCCGTGAGGCCGGTGACTGTATCTCGTTTTCTCCTATGAGAACCGATTTTTTTTTTTTTTTTTTTTTTACAGCTATCCTCTTTCTTCCATCCTTATCCAAGAATGACTTTGATTTTTATGTACATGACCAATTTTATTACAAAACGCACAAAAAATCCAAACCATTAAAATGCAATCATACAAATACTACTAATAATAATAATAAAAATTAGTGGGGCATTTCCGTGAGTACATGACCGCATGCTTTTGTTTGATCTGCGGATAGCTACGCTGCCTAACATTGGTTTACGAAATTGTCATTATAAATATGGCATAATAAGGTTATTTTAGGCTATTAATATTTTTACAGATTCATTGGCACTTTTATAATAGTATAGATAACACATGAGGATTTTCGGGATTAATACCGCTCTTCTTGAATCCACAAGCAAGGAGTAAAAATTCGAATTTGAGGGCTCGGTCAAATGCTTGACGCGGCTGCTCCCGATTTCACTCATGGATCCTCGGCTTCATACTCGCGTGATGCCTTCAGATATCGGTCGTGGTCCTCTGGTCACGGTGATGGTTCTCGTTGGATGCTCACCTCGGCTCGTGGTTGAAGCTCTCGGCGACCATTAGCAGGGCAGGCTTCCAGTAGTTCTCGGTGGGCTCAGGGTCTCAGTGATCACTGGCAAAAAGGGGTTCTCGCCAAAAAAAAATGAGAGGTCATTAGCTAGCCGTGAATACTTTTTGGGAGAGAAATGGGAGAGAAAACTTTTTTCTCTTCAACACCAAGTATTGCCGTGAAGATAAGAGTGTAAAGAAGGAGACATTAGCTAGCCATTAAAGCCATCAATCAAGGGTTGAAATGAGGAAGTTACTCAAAATGAAAGGGATTGTGGTGATTTGGCCGAGTTGAGTTGGAAAAGGCTAAGGAATAAAAATGGACTAGATACAATGTATGAAGGAATTACCAAAAGCTATGTTTAGTAAAGATTTCTCCTTAGCCAAAATGTGTGGTAGAGGTTTAAGAGGTTGATATGGCTCT